AAGATTGAATCCAGAGCCTTTACACTGAGTTCCACATCCATTTTTTTAATTTATCATTTTATTTTGGGACAGGATTGCACTGAGTCCTTAACTTTCCAAGGTTGGGCTTGACCTTAATGCTCCTACCTCAGCCTCCCAGAGGGCTGGAATTAGAGGTTTGTTCCACCATGTCTGGCTCTGGAATCTCTTAAACTGCATTATTATAAAGTAACTTTTTAATAATCTTGACCCAATATGGAGACTCTTTTATTTTTATAATAAATGTCTATCATAATTGGTGTCACCTTTCTTAATACTTGCATTTTTAATCTAATAAAGGAAGTCAGCAGTCTTTTCCTTCACTGTTGTCTTGGGTTTTCCAGCTATGTGACCTGGTTTGTTCTTTCTTGCTTTCAGCAGTGTCATTCTAGCATTGAGGCCCAAATCTTACTGTTAAACTCTGAAGGCAACGGTTTTCTGTCACCTCCTGATAGCATCAAATAAAGATATCCTAATAACTTGCTGCTCTTAACGGTCTGTCAGTGTCAAAATCAGTGGGAATTTTGTGGAAATGCAATCTTGAGTCCTTCCCAGGCCTACTGCCTTGGAATCTTCATTTTATCATAAACCCAGGTGATTCTGCACCAATTACAGTTCAAGAAGCCCTGATCTAACACTGCTTGAGCTCTCTCCAAAGAGGAAGCCATTGATTATCTGCCATGATTTTAGTGAAACCCAGCAGATATTGTTTCTGTCAGGAAGAGGAGGATTCAAGGGTGAGTTGCACTTAAGTTTTACGCAAGTCTTCTGACTTCTCCTATGGGAGGTGACAAGGCCTCTTATAACTGTTGTGCCCAAGACGTTAAGGCTAGCAGAAGACAGAGTGCACTGGTAGCCGGTCAGTTAACCGAGTTGATTTAAATCAGTCTGTTTTCCAAATCTTCCTTCACAGCTCTTTCGCCCACTGAATGTCTGCCTCTTGAACATGATCAGGAGAACCCACAGATCTGTCTTGCTGCTGAATTTAAGTATTAGTCATGTTTACCTCATGAGGTTTTTAATCACAGATTGCCTTGACACATGTAGGCCTTAATTCATTCTGGAGCTGTTGTACTGTGAGAGAACATCGGCTCTGTATGAAGTATGTGCCCAGTAAAGGAATTAACGACAGGTTTTTCAGGAGGTGGGTCTGCTCTCCGACATTTCTGGAAGTTCTCTTTTATCTTGAGAAACTTATTTGATTGAAAGAAACACAGGAAAGACTCACTACATTTTTCTTGAGTTTCTCAACATTTACTTTAACTTTCTCCGAGGGGGCCAGTGTAGGCATTTCCATTGATTGGCTTCTTATTTTATTCAACAGAGGCAGGTTTTGTGCCTTGATTAACTTTTGGTTTTTTTGTTTGTTTGTTTGTTTTTGTTTTTATCTCAGTTCTCTGTTTGCATTCCAGACTGGGCTTGAACTTGCTCTGTAGCACAGGCTGGCCTCAAACCACCTGCCGTGCAGAGGTGTGCCACAGCACCTGACCTTGTGCCTTGATTCCTTTCATCTTCTGGAAATGTGGGTCCTTGTCCGTTACTAATGCCCTTAAGTAACGTGGAGGCCACTGTTCTAACAACTTGTTTCTGATTTTTCAGGGTAATTTAATTTTCTGAATTTTTTTTAAACCTTTGATAACTGAACTGTACTTTGCAAGAAAAAGAAAAGTGAGAAAGAACAACCAGAAAACTTTGCATTGCAATCCATTATCTGTTGCTTCCTGTTGTATAAAATCCCAGTTTATTCTCCAGAATAACTTACATCTTAATTCTAGGAATCTCTTAATCAGATTTATTTATGACCGAAACCTAGTGACATGAAATGTATGGCCATTTGGTTTCATTTTTGCTCTTGAATTACATTACTGCACTGTCAGCCTGAACTCTTATTTTCTGTCATCTGTAAGGATCCCCTGATTACTTTCTGGCTATGGACATCTCTCACCACTGCGCGTGTGTTGTCAGCGGTTAAATCTCCTCCCACGCCCAGACATCATTTTGAACAGGTGGCCCCTGCTAGCATGGCTTCCTTGCAACCTCTCTATGAATCCTAGGTGATCACACGGGCCTTTTCCTCATCAAGGACAGAGGCTGCCTCAGTGTCACTGGCTCTTAACACAATACAGCACCTTGCACACAGGACACAGGGCCATTTCATTTAACCGCATGGATGAAGTCAAGTCTCTTCCTGTTTCCCATTCTGCCCTATTTTCAGGCTTCGTGCCCTCATTCCACTTACGTAAATTTTTCTCATACAGCCATTTTGCTTTCAAATTTCCTTGCTTGTGACTATTCTCCATTCACTTCCTCAAATCTTCTCCTTCTAGACACCCTCTGTAATAGCTCCATCCTCTGAAATAATGCCCGGTCCGAATGTTACTTCTACTGAGTCTGCCTTCGTTAGTCTTTATCGTCTCACTTCGATTCCCCTTCTTTCTCCTACCCATAGCCTCCCTAACAGCTTACGCTACGCTTATCTGGCCCTGCTCACCAACCCACTTATTGGTGGTGTATGTGATTTCCTCGGTTCTTAGAATAACAATTCTTTGAGGGAGAGACTTTTGTCTGATTCTGTCCTGGTGATTAGCATACATCCTAGTAAAAATGTATTTGTTCATGTGCTGTGTTTGTTGCTGTTTGGAATTTGTTTGCAGACCTATAACCGGGAGTGAGGATAGAGTTTTTTGTACTTATTGTTTTATTTTTATTGTTTTGTAGACTGATTATCTTCTCCCTGCCAAGGGTGAGTGTCAGTTGCTTTGTTGCTTGTAGCACATACAGTACTGGCAGAACCATAGATTTCTGGAAAGTCTTGTATGCTCTGCTTTGTGTAAATTGCTCTTTAGAGGGGAGGTTTTCTGTGTGCAGTCTTTAGTTTCTGTGAATTTGGGAGCACCACAATATGTGGGTGGTAAGAGCCGTTGTTTTTCCACACACCGCAGGTTGCTTTTGATTCATTTCTTCTCTTAATTTATGAATCTTTTGCACAGGGTCCAAGTTATCTGAGCAACAGAGGCCAGAAAATGTCATGAAATTGTCGTAAAATAAATCATACCATCTGACTCAGCGCAGTTATTCACCACTGCTTCTGATGAGCCTCAGGTTCTCTGCCATCATTGGGATTGCTGCAGAAACGTGGCCACAGGTGTCTGGAGGCCGGAGAGTGGGCCTGACGGGGGGAATGCAGCGTCCCATTACTGCAAAGGTGGCCGTGCTGTGCTTTTTGGAAAGTGCTATTAAAACGACACATGAGTAAATACACAGCTTTCCTTAGATGAGCATATAATAGGAATGAATCTCCAAGAAAGGTTTTGAAGGCCTTCAGCCTTCTCCACCACGCGAAGTCACGCCAGCCGAAGTGTGCTTCTCACCCCAGCCCAGCCTGCACACAGGTCCTCACCTCTCTTCTCACTGGACCATCCCCTGGGGAGCACTTCCTTTGTGGGAATGCCGCTGACTTCTAGCATTATTCCAGCATGCACTAGCAGTGCCTCTCTCCTCTCTAAGAGGGAAGAAAATAAAAACAAATTTTAATATCCTTAAGTCTTAACAGTCTGTGGCACTTTTTGGAAATGGTCAAAACCAAATATCTCCAATTTGACATGGTATTGGCTGCCTTTTAAAACCGCCAAAAACATTTATCTCCCACAATTTCAATGATGTTGTTGGTGAGGATGAGTGTGCCAATATCAGCATTTGCATTTGTTCAGCGCTTCGCAAAGCATCTCCACAAACTGAGTGCTGCCTGTTACCAGTTTTTCCCCCATGAAGTTTATTGGTACATTCAAAACAAACAATACAGTTACATTCATCATTGGGATCTTGTACCTTTACATGACAGGTCTTGGTTCTCATTTTTTCCTTGTACCCCTGCCCTCCCTTCACCCACTTCACCCCCTTCACCCTTCCCTATTTACAAAGACTTTATGTTACCAGTTTATTAATGAAATACCTGGAGAGTCTTTGGAGTATCAGGAAGGAGTCCAATCTTTTACATTCATTGTCAACTTCCTGAACAATTATGGTCCCTAAAATTAACTTTAACCCTTTATGAGCCAAGCTCATTGACTTTACCACTTCTAAGGTGTAATTTATTTTATATGAAAACAACTTTTTAGAGAGATGTCTACGTAAGTCATGTTAAACAGTTATGCCGGTCGAAACAATTTTGTTCTTCTCTATCTTTATTCTGACATTCATCTTAAGGAGTTCTGGGAAAGGAAATGAAAAACAATACTCAACCTCTGATACAATGTACTGTTTTGATTATGATCAGTACTTTAATAGAATTTCTCTTTGAGAGTCTTTATCTTAAGGAGACCTGAAAAGCTTGGGAAAGTTTAATTGATCCAGGGTCACTTCTCTTAAATCCCTTTCCATGTTAACCAGTTTAACCATGGGGTGTGATTGGCTTTTATGCTTTCTGAATGGAAGCATCTTGAAGTTAGAAGAAGGGATCACAGTGGGCAGATGGTGATTATATTGGTTGCAAGCAGCTGTTCAAACCTATTTGCTGAAGTATTTGTGTGCCCTGTACCAGAGGTGACCAGGATACGGCGAATCTTTCATTTTAGTGAATCTTTGTGCTTAGGTCTTTTTTAGTACATGCATCTTGAAAACACATAAAACATCTTTCATTGCAAAAGTAGCTCTTACATGAATATTAGAGCAAAAAAAATCATGAAAATAGTTATTTGTCTACTCATTCAGGCAGATAAAAACTAATGCCAGAAAACAGAAAAGAGAAGTGATCTGAATAATTTTACTATTATTGAGACAGTGTAAGAGCATCCGGTGTGGGGAGAAAGTGTACTCTGACAACTTTGAAGAAAACATTGACCATGTCTTGTTATAATAATCTTTTACTAATCGCTTATATGGATAGAGTGCTTTATTATTTGAAAAAGTTTCATTTGCATATCATATTTAACCTTGGAAACAACCTTCTGTGATGGGTATAATTATGCCATTTTACAGATGTGGAAGTGGAGGCCCAGAAAGATGAAACCATCTTCCTAAGCTGTAATAGGACCATTCATTCACTGAATCTGTGTAATGTATCTTGAATTATTTTTTTAATAATTTTATTATTTGTAATCATTTACTCCTTCATTGCTTAATTTGTAAGTAATCTAAGACTAAAATTTGTGGTTCCACTGTATTTTCATATTTTTTGTAGTAAATTGAAGAAGAAATGACGGAAGGGCTGGCATCAGATGCCTTGAAAATTGAAAACCATATTAAGATGAGACAATTTCCACATTCAAGACATACTTTGAAGTTTTGTCCCCTAGTCTTACTGGAGTTCAAATATGTAATGAGTCATTTTTATCTTCCTCTTTTCTTGTGGGGATAGCTTCTCTCTTTTTTAAAACCATGTGGTTGGCCTTCATGGCCATTGTCAGTAGACAAATGTTGCCATTTATAAAAGCTATGCTAGTTGCTAGATCCCATGGTTTTGCCCTTCCTCAAGGTCAAAGTATCCAACCTAATCAGGAATGTTGGCGTCTTTACATAAGAGCGGCACTGCTTCACTATGTAGATCCAGAGATCATGAATGATGGACTTTGGCTTCCTTTCCTACAACTTTGAGACTGTCTGAACAGAAATGCAAAGAAGAGCAAAACTGTTTTTGTAGCACAACTAACACAGGCATCTAATACTCAGTCACATTACTTTTACATAAAAGAATATACCTTGGGGAATAGAACCTAGCTTTGTGATTGACATTTTCCTTTTTTTTTTTTTTTTTGACTGACATTTTCAAAGGACATGTTACAAAGAATGACTTTGATTGGCAGAAACTGTATTCAGTTTGCCTGCAGAGCAAAATAAGTTTTACTCTTGCTCTCTTACAGCTTAGTCTATATAAATGTTATTTTTTCCGTACTATCAAAAGAGAACTTTGTGATATCTGATGTTTATTAAATTATGGTTAAAGGCATGCATTACATCGTTGGCTCCCAAACTATGATATAGACTGATTCTTTTCCACCTTATTCATCAGGGTGATTTTTTTAAGTGGATTTTGTTAGGACAGAGAATCGTTGTGATTCTTTCTCGGGGGAGAAGATGAGATTTTTTAAGTTGATGACTGGATTAATGAATTTACATTATAAATAGTGGTTTTTTTCTTCAAATTGTCATACATTTCAGTGTAACTTGATGTAGATCTTTCTTTGAAGGGGTGTGACAGTAAGTCTTTTGGAATAAAATCTTTTATATAGTCTTTCAAAAACAGTAATTTTTTCCATAGTGATTCCTATTAAAGCAGATGTCACTGTATCAAGAAAATCCCCCAATTTTAAATTTTCAGAATGTTTTTGGTTTTCATTTTAAATCTAGGATACAGATAGTTTTCAATATGTATTTGTTTCATGGAATAGAAATATCACAGAGTAGGAAAAGAAATTTAATTGCAGGGTTATATTGACTTAAATTTAACTTGTTTGTATTGCCTAGGTAGTGTTATGATATTTTAAAGGGAAAACTGATCTGTAACTCTTACCCCTGACACAAAACTATTTGTTTTCTATACTTCTTTGTTGCATTATTAAAAGGGAGATATGCTTTCTCACCTTGGTCACCTTCACTCACTTTTTACACTGCATTATGGGGTCAAAACACTTTAGAAATTGAGCTTTTTCAAGGTACCTGGTGCTCAGATTTTTTCAAAGAGATCTTGTTTTAAGCCTGTCATCTCCCAGGCAATTGGCAAAGGATTTCCACTCTAAAAAATAGGAACTTGTAAAATTCATACTTAAGAATTAATCCAAAAATTGTCTTCCAGGAAAAATGTAGATAGTAACACTTGAATGCCTGGGAACAGTTACGTTTATGAGTCCTGCCTCATCCCCAAAATGTATGAGAATTTGAGTCACTGAAGAAAATTCTGTAAGCATACATTTCTAAGAAGGTTGGAATACAAGGCAGTTTGTATTGTGCTAGCAGCCAGCTCAAGGCAAAGCCAAAAAGCCTCACCTATAGGCAGGCAGGCTGTCTCAGCCCTTCTCTAACTGCTATGCCTTTTTCATATTGAATTTCCCACTCGGTGTTGAGTGGATTGAACTGTACTTATTTTTCAACCCTCACTGCCCATTAAAATCATCCCAATGCCTAAGCCAAACCCTTAGAAGCTCTTGACTCATTGCTCTGGGAAAGGCCGAGGCATCATAATTGTCTTAAAAGATCCTCTGATGGTTCTGCTGTGGAAGCCAGACTGAAAAACACTGACCTAGCTCCGTTACAAATAAAGAATTTGACCAGGAAGTCAAGGTATTGTCATGATATTCCACAGCACAGAAAAATACTTTACTGGATTCAAAACCTCCCATCTACTGCCATGAAATCCAGTTTAGCAAAATTGAGCACAATGTTAAGAGTAGAACTATTAGAAAAATCAAAATTCTTTTACTTTTTGAAACTTAGCTGCAGAATGAGGTAAATGCAGGTAAATCAAAAAGGATACCTTGATTAAAAACCAAGACCACAGGGGAAGGGAAGCAGGGAAGTGCCTGCTTAGGGATATATGACCCAGCCACACAGAGGCAGTCTCCAAGCCCCGTTAGCTATGGCCTAGTGGGCACTGAGGATGCAAGCTACTTTGAACCACTCTTCTTGGGAAGTGGATCTTCTCAGAGTCTCCCCCAGTGACATAGACCTCACAGCTGGTATCCAGGGCACCAAACATGTTGGGGTGAAGCAGGCCACCTTGGGAATCTCCTTGGCCTTATAGTCCACTCGAGAGATATGGTGAGGATGTGGGAATGCTAGGGGTGGGTGTGGCTTCTGATAAGAAAATTGTAAGTAGAGGAATAATGGAATAAAATTATTTTAAGGCCAGGATTTTGTAAGATGAAGATAGAGAATCCTGTTTTAGTCAGGGGAATAGATTTAACATGAACAAAATACATAATTTACAGGATTATTTTATACTATTCACCCAAAAAGTCAAATGCAGAGGAGTGCAAGAGATCTTTCCACACACCAGAGACCCAAAGAATCCAGCTGAGGGCCTGGATCTCATGGCAGTGTCCTGCACAAGTCCAACTGAAGGCCTGGAGTCCAAGGCCATGTCCTCCACAAGGCCGGCCAGAGGCCTAGAGCCCATGGCAATGTCTCGTACAAGTCCATTCGGAGGATGCACCTGGAAGGCCCAAAGGCCAGTGGTGGGAGCTAGAAAGTTTGTACCAGTGGGGTGAAGGATTTGTGCCGCCAGGCCGAGGAATCTACACAGGAACCAGAAAGCAATGCTTAAGTCAAAGGCAAGAGCACCTCTGATGAGAACAGCAGCCGTGCCCAGCAATGGCAAGGACTAGAGTGCCTATGAGGAAATTGTAGAAGGAACTCATGGCAATCTTCTCCAAGAAAATCAACAGCATATAGTCCTCCTCTCCAGTTCTGCTTTTTTGCCATTGATCTTCCACACCCAGAATCAGAATGATTCAGTTCAGCTGGGTACAATATAGATGTTGACCATTAGTTAATCCACCACAAATCCCTTCTTTACCTACCCACTATGTCTCTGCAGTTAGCAGAAGGCAGGAGAAACTGTCACGACTTTCTGTATCTATCAAGTTTTCCCCTGGACTCCCTTTTTTCTGATCCCATACTGGGTCTGGTATTTTTCATCAGCACTTCATGATATTCCTTTTTTTTTTTTTTTTTTTTTTTTTTTTTTGGTACCGAGGGATCGAACTTGGGTTCTTGTGCTTGCAAGGCAGGCGTCGTCACCTCTGAGATAAATCCATGGCCCCATGATATTCTTAATAGTTCTTTCATTGCACTTGAAAAGATCTATGAACAAACTCTTAAAATCCCCCAAATTTTCATTGTCCCCCAAAGTGTCCTTAGGTTCATTCCAGAGCTCACTCCATCCAGAATACCCTGAAGATGCCTCTGGAACAAGGTGAGGGGAAAAAAAAAATCCCGGAAGCAATGTCTAGAGAATGCCTAACTGAATCCACGCATAGACATGTTCTTGGCCTGTCCCCAGCACTTCAGAGATCACAAAGATAGGCAGATGGACATCTTATTTGGCATGGTGAGGAATCTCATGTTTCCACTGGCTGGTTTTGAGTGAATACACTTTATTACCTCTAGCGCCATTTTGATGGGCTTGCGACATGAGAGCATGGCGGTGATTAGACAACATGTTAAATCAGGGCAAGGAGTTCACCAGAGTAGCTTACCAACAGAGCAGAAACTTTGTACTTTGTAACCCCAATGATAAAGTTAGGATAAAAGGTATAGCCATCTTAGAATGCGTTGCTGTTCATCAAAACTTTCTGTAATAATGAACATAACTTGTATCTGTGCTATCCAGTGGGGCAACCATTAGTCCCATGTAGCTTGAAATGTGACAGGTGTAACTAAGGAACTGAATTTTATGTATTATGGTATTTTAGTTAACTTAAATAGCTACTTGTGGCTCCTGGCTACCAAAGTGGACAGGACAGTTATTGGGCATCTTTAAAATTCTCATTCTCAAGTCCTGAAGAAGCACAGGCAGGTTGTTTTCCAGCTCTGTTAGTCAAATAACAGATTAAATTGTATCGCCCCATGCCTGTTTCAGCCCTGGAAGCCTGGCAGTCTAATGTTAATGGAAATACTTTTTAGTGATACACTCTAATTATAATGCTCAACTATGGGAGGATCCAGCCAGAACTCTTCTGTCACTTGTGTGTTTGGCTTTCACCTTAAATGGGTAGTAAAAATACTACCTTGTGGGGGAAAAGAATGCTTCAGGTCTGTGTGCATGGAATGGTAGGGTTATAAACAGTTGCACCTCCTCGTGGGAACACTGGGGAAAGGGAAGTTAGAGTGACAGGTAGCTGCAGTGAGCAGCCTTGCTCTGGAGGAATGAATGCTTTTAACTTGGCTTGGCCTTCATCACCACTGCCTAGCAGAAGGGCTTTCCCTGAGGGCATCGGATTTTCCCCTGTGAATAAGTTCTCCCTACCATTGGTCACCTCTCTGCTATGTTCTCCTAGAAACTCACCTCTCCTTATTTGGCATGCCACAGCTTAAACCTGGAGAACTGGGTGGTGGGG